AACACACTTACGGAGGACTTCAGCCTGGGTGAACCAGAAAGGATAGACAACACTTCCCAATATTGACCATGAATGAAAAGCTAAGTATGTTATAAATCCCAGAAGTGCTCTGGTATTACTCTGAATGCCTGGACTTCAGCCTGTGTGAACCAGAAAGGATAGACAACACTTCCCTATATTGACCATGAATGAAAAGCTAGGTATGTTATATATCCCAGAATTGCTCAGGCATTACTCTGAATGAAGGACTTCAGCCTGGGTGAACCAGAAAGGAAAGACATAATTTCCCTCTATTAACAGTGAATGAAAAACTAAGTTTGCTATATCCCAGAAGCTCTCAGGCATTACGCCGAATGCCATATAAATCTTAGAAATATGACAAATAAATATATATCTCAGAAGTGACCAGGCAACACTAAACAAAATAATATTGTTACAGGATAAGACTTCAAGAAAATAGATTTTTTTAAATGATACAATGTTGACTATGCCTTACTTCAATGGGTGCACAGAATTTAAAAATTAAAATGTCATACACTGCAGGCAGAGCACATAAATTAACATCACATGGCTCCTCTTCAAGGAGAAAGAGCAAGTCATCTCTTAACCCCTTCCATCTGAAACAGACAGAAAAAAAAACAGTGAATAAAGTTTCCACCTTTATAATCCAAGCTTACCATATTTTTGCTGGTAACTGGGTAAAAGTGAAGAACAGCTCCCCTAAAAGTCTGTCGGCCAACTGTCGGCCAACTGTCGGCCGGCAGTATGCCAACTGTCCATCAAACTAAGTATCCCAAGTGAGATTTAAAGACATGTATTCCAATAGAAAGTGAAATACCATACTGCAAGCTGGAACTTTTTATGCATGTCAATGCAGAAATGCAGAGTTGTACCTACCCCCCAATATTTGCTTTGCTCTTTAGGAAACACTCAGCAAAGGCTTCCCCAAAAGGAACATCAGGAGAGGCACATTCCTACAAATAAATTGCATGTATCACTCAATAATGAATTAACTGAGCTAAAGTCATATAATGTTCACTACTAATGGTAGATATATAATCACTGTTCACCACAGATAAAATATGTTCACTTTTATGGACACCTTTCGTCTGCCTTTCTGTAAAGTCAAGAAAGCCAAGAAAGCTCTCACTAATTGATTATAAATAAATTGCATAACAAATACCAGTAGGCTGAATATGTTTTGTGTTATTGTATAATTCCACTATGATGCATGTCATTTAGCATTGCAGGTATAACCTACCTTAATAACTTTGCAGAATACACAGCACTCTGTGTCCAATCCTTGCTTGCAAAGTTCATTGATATATTTTTTGGCATCACCAGCTCTTTGCTTGAGCAGCATTATCAGTGTTTTGTAATCAAGAGTAACTGTCATGAAAAAAGACAAGAAGATAACAAGAAGTTGAAGTTAAAATAGCTACACCAAAGATCTCAAATGTTATACTTTCCCAGATATTTTCTAACACTGCCAAGCATAAAATGGATTCAATAATTACTATCACGTAGCTAGACATGTAACATAAAAACATTGCAAAAATAAAAAATAATAAGATAAAAAAAATATAAAGAGTCAAGATTGGCACACACAAATAACCTGGAAATTTAACTTTAAAGCATCTTCCATTAACTACTATTCCAGTTTTCTCAATGGCATCCCTCTGGCGATTTAAATCTTTTATCGTAGAAAAATAGAAATGAAATAAATTATAATACTGTCAAGACCCTATCAAGGAAACAAACCCGAAATTTCTCCTAAAGTAGCCATAAAAAGTGATCATAGCTAGAAGACTTAGAGGCTCAGCGTAAAATCAAACTCAGCCAATTATGTGATTTTCCTGCCAAGCAGAGATGAGTTCTGATACACCGTGAAACCAGCATTCACAACAAAACATAAGACAGCAAACTCACTTTTTCCAATCTTAATAAAAATATAAACGTTATGACTTACCCCGGTTCGTCTTAGCTTGAAAATGCTAAGTAACGTTTGCCAAGCTTTTCTTGATCCAGGATCAAGAATTTATTTTATCGATCAACCAAAGATATCTCACCACTTCTCCTTCTTCGAATTTCTGCCGGAAGATGGTAGAAACAACTCCAAATAGAGAGGCGATGTCCACTTTGTTGTTCTGAACATATCGGCCATCCACGCTTCCCCCATTTTTTTAAAGCTGGACCGTACAAAACGCTTGGAAAATGTGCCACAAACAGGCTACTTCAAAAAACTTGCTGAGTCTTATGCCATATTTCTTGAAATTTAAGATAAACCATTCCCTTGACTCATCTGGAGGAGAATGAACCAATTCAACTCTTCGAAGTTTGAAGGGATCCATAACTGCACTCGACCGCGGGAAACTAAACATTCCCGCTTTTGCGTACTCATATTAATATGAAATCCAATCTCCAAACGTCAATAGGGCGATCCAGCCCCTAATAAAAAAAAGGCGTCATTATACCCAGCAGGAACAGAGATTGTACAAATTCAAGCAACTACTCAGATTACTGCGAGCAATTATCGAAAAAGGCTGTCAACGCGATGAAACTTATCCGGTTTATGACGTCACTCCATAGCAACCAGCCTTTTCGAATATTTGAACTTCCGTTTACCTGTGGGCCGGGTGATCTTTGTTGCAACCCAAGCATTGCATGTGTCTTCTGTTTCTATCGAAATCCGCGTCGTTCGCGTGGTAGTTTCATAATCAGTTGTAAACACCAATTGGTTTTGAAAGGTAAGCCGAAGTTCACGAAGTTTTGATTACTCTCTGTTTTAAATCGACATTTTTAAAGAAACAAACATGCACTGCATGAGTGCGTGTATCCTTCGTCGCCAAGACCTGAAAGGCAAAAATCCTAACAGTAGTAAACTCCAAGAGATCAATTCCTTGCGATTAACTACTCTACGATAAGTCCTATGAGCCTTAGCTACACTTTGATAATTTTAGCTAGTTTTATGGATTATACTAGGCTGAACGTTTTACACTTTACTGCTCAGATGCATTGCTCTTCAACTGTTATTTTATTATTTTATCAGGAAACCATTTCCAATCGACCATAGCATGAAGATCACTTGGTGGATTTTGTCACTGTCAGCATTGTGGACTTGCAACCAAAGGACAAACTTGTGTGGAGGTGAATAGAAAACAAAATTATGATGCATGTTATTTTGCACTTACTGCTGCTATTTCAATCATCTTCACACCCGTTCTCCTTCATTGTTAACTAAAATTACGATTCGGAAGTGATAGATATTTTAGATGACTTGTTAGTAAACCCCCAAAAATTTCTTTGACCCTTGTTTAAAACCGATAACACAGAATTTCAAAAGAAGTAGAATGAACGGAAACCTTCGATGAAGTTATTTAAAATGTGGGAACTAAAAACGATTGATTACAGTCAGAGAGCTCATATCGTGAAATACAGCATCAGTTTTTCAGCTTTGATTTTGGCGGCTTTCCAAGACTAACCAGTAATCTCTGAAAAGAGTGGAAACCGAATTAACCTTCTCCAGGCCTTACCTATTCATTTGCGCCCAAGCTGAAGATGCTTTTAAGACTCCGGTTTAGCTTGGGCAAGCTCGACATTATATTTAATGAGGTCGTGGGAAAGTATGGTAACCTTGAAGGTTACTGCCTGTATCAATTGTTTCTGATTTTTTTATAGTAAGGGTTTTATAATAGGGAGTGTTCCGTGTCGCCGGTTGTCACGAAACAAAAGAAGGTGCTTCAGAACGTCAGTTCTTAGTCCGTTGTGAACTGCGACGAGTTGAAAAGATCCTTAAATATCTCCAATGGAATGGAGGGCAGGAAAAAGCTCGCGATGGTCCGAATTAAGGCTATGTGCCTGATGTTTTTCTCCATTCCTCGGCGATAACTGTCCAATTATTGTGGGAGGAAATCTTCGGATTGATTAGACCAATATCAAGTTGATAGTTGGACTCCGAGCTTTTTGCATCAATTTCCCTCTCGCTCTTTTAATTAAATGTAAGAATTTTTAGCATTTCAGTCTATTAATCATTAATTAAAGCATTTCGATGTAATCATATTAACATGTCTTAACTTTATTTCTGACACGCTCTTCATTTCTTCGCAGCTACAGTTGAAATTAGTTTTCTAGCTGTTGGTAACAAATTTGTATTTATCATTTTCATTTGCCCAGCTACCTTATGCAGCACCTCATGTTTGTTAGTTTCTAACACAACGGATATTTTCACTGTGGACTTTCAAACGTCTACTATAAACCCGGTTATATCGGGTTTAAAAAGTGCTGCTGTGATAGACGTTCATTTCGGTTTGGGCCTCGTATTTTGGAGTGACGTCACAGAACTCAACATCAAACGTCTTCACATTGATACTGATAATAAAACCACGATTATTAGCAATATTGGAGTTTGCCATGGACTAGCTGTAGAATGGAGGACTTTCCGGCTATTTTGGACTGATAAAACAAATAACTCCATATCCGTATCAGACCTGGATGGCAATAACCAACATGTGATAATTTCTGTTGGTCTCGATGAACCCAGAGGGATTGCTTTGGATCCTGACAACAAGTAAGTGTTGGTTTTAAGCTAAAAATAGATACCTACATCTAATATCCCAATGAGTTTTTGATCCTGAATTTACCACGGGCAATTCAGTTTACCCAGCCTATTAACTCCCTTTTTGTGCTCCGTTTGTCTTTTTTAATCTATCTCTCGATTGCATCTCGAGTTAAATTTCGGGAGGCTCATTGCAAATAAGTTGTTTGAATTATTCGTTGAGCTTTGTGTATGTGTCTGAGGGAAGAGGGGGGAGGAAACAGAGGTTCGTTGGAAGTCAAGTTAGATAATGATTTCACAATATCTTTTCTTTTTTTTTTTTTGACCCACAGCTTTATGTTCTTGACTAATTGGGGAGTTAACCCCAAAATTGAAAGAGCTACCTTAAGTGGAAACCAAAGAGTTGCTATCGTAACAAAGAATCTTTATCAACCAAATGGTATTGACTTGGATAAAGGAAACAGACGCATATTCTGGGTGGATGCAGGCTTGGACAGAGTAGAATCCATCGATTATAATGGCGATAACAAGACCGTTCTTTTTCGACAGAGTGGTTTACATCCATTTGGAGTTGCTTTTGTTCCGCCTTTCTTGTTTTTCACCGACTGGCATACGAGTAGAGAGGTTCATAAACTGGACGCCCTTACTGGAGAGGTACTCCGCAGTTATAGCATCAATGGTGGACAGCCTATGGGCGTCGTAGCATATAACGGCTTCCGGCAGCCCTCGGGTAAAAAATGTTCAACGCATACGAAACCCCTATAGTTAACGGATTTTATAAAGTCCATTTAAGAATTTAACCCTAAAATAGATATTTAGAGAGACTCTATTCGTGCTAATTCGTTACGTGACGCTGTGTGGGGTTATTTTTCCAAAACACCGTTATTCTAAATATTGTCTTCGTTTCTCGATAGCAATTACATATATTTACCCGAGTTTATTCACTTTTGACGTGATAGTTACGTTAAGCAAACGTTACGATATTATCCTTTATGCATACATACATACATACAAACTTTATTGGAACTCCCTTCAAAAGGGCTTTTCAATCATAACAAACTAACTAAACTTATTTACAATAACAATTTAAACTAAGATTATTTCTTGTAAAACATATTTTTAAAGAGTCTTCTTAAAACTATCAATCTCTTTCACATTCTTAATATTCTCAGTTAGCCCATTCCATTCTCTAGGACCCCGGTAGTAAAACCCCCTTCTTATAAAATTCTTCAAACAGGATGCTTTCAACCTTTACGCTTTATCCCCCAGCGTTTTTATTATGTAGTTGATTTGGCGGAAACAGTTCACTTAAGTGATTTAAACCTGATTAAAAGATTTCCACTTCATACATATCCTCAATTGACACGAGAAATAATAATGATATAATAACCATAATAATAACGATAATAATAATAATGATAATAAGTGTTATTTTATTAGGGTGACCATTATATACCTTTTGTATTTAAGATACAGCATATTTTCTATATGTTTACTAACTTCAGGTACCTGGTGCGTATTTTCTTATTTTCCTTTGGATCTTTTTTGTATCTGCAATCGAATTATCCTATTTTTCTTAAAACCTTCTTTGTCTTTGTTAGCTTCAAGTCCATGTTCTTCAAACAATGGAGGCTGTAGTCATTTTTGTGTCCCAAAAAACTCCAGTCATGAGTGCCTGTGTCCAACAGGGTTGGCAGTGAAAAAGAATGGAAAGATGTGTGAAGAAAGTAAGTCTTTTGCTCTTGAGTTATTCTTTTGAATCACATTTCTGGCGTGATTCTAATCAGTATTTATTTTAATTCCAGAAATAAGTAGTGCAGTAAATGGTTTGAACCCGGGGGTAACATGTGAAGGTGTAGTCTGATCGTCCGGGTGAGTGTAGTCCTGAGAAGGACTGTTGTCGGTGGCAGTGACTGACGTTTCGACAACCTGTGCGGAAGTCATCATCAGAGTCAAGTGAGTGATTGTTGTCAGTAGAATGTTCTTATTCCAGTTCGTGTGAAATGATCGGTTGGTTTTGCCGTGATGTTATTGGCTGTAAGACTCAAGTGACGTAAGTCGTTCGTGATTGGTCTGTTTCGGTCTGTCGGTAAAGCTAGGTTGTTCTTTTTCGGTCGTTTGTGATGTTTATGTCGTGAATGAGTCGTTTGTATGGGGCGGGTAGTTGTTGACATCTGTTTAGGGGAGTCTGTTCTAAGTTAGTAAACCAGCTTTCCAGAGTCAGTCGTTGAAAATAGTCAGTGCTGTAGGTTAGGCATTGCGCAGAGTCCCAGTCAATGTTGTGGTTGGTAAGTCGATGGTGTTCAGCAATGTGATTGCTGACATCACCTTTCCTCGTCGCCCGTCTGTGTTCAGTCAGTCTTGTTGTGAGGTTTCTGCCAGTCTCACCGATGTAGGAGGCTTGGCAGTCGGAACAATTGATCTTATAAATCGTTCCCTGTCTGTTCCTCGGTTCGTCTTTGTCTTTAACGTTGGTTAGTAACTGACGTAGTGTGGTGATGGGTTTGTGGGCGACGCGGATATTGAAAGAACTATCAGAACTCTAACACGACGCGCACAACTAGTATGCGACTCGACAGACAGCT